CTGGAAAGAAACAACATCTTTTCATATAGTGATAAGGAAGATAATGAAAAATTCCTACTTGTTGACCTTTTTCTAAGTACCATGTTTCCCTCTTCTAAAATAAAGGTCACAGTATCAGTGCTTGTAGGTGCTGCCTACTGTAACTGGAATTTGAGAGACAAACAATTAGTACTCAGGACTGGCCTTACCATGAGGCGAACTGAGACCGCCACCTCAGGTGCCAGACTGTGGGGGGCACCACTAGGACCCAGAGTGTAGAAAATTGTGTCTGCTGCTGGTGCATATGTATTCTCTCTGCTCTAGATGCACAGAGATGGTGGAGTGCTGTGCTGGAGGAAGGAGGGCACAAGAGACATAACAGGCAGGCAAGAGAAAAGGTGAGAGGGAAGAACAGAAAGCAGCAGCAGCTGCAGGAAGAGAGAGAGAGGAGGAGGAGCCTCTTATGTACCTCTCTAGCACCCGCAGGAGCCTGGACTGATTAACACCAGCTGCTCAGGGAGCTTCCTGTTTCCTGCTGCTTCCCTGAACCCACTTGAGGAAACAAGCAGTCAACTGAAGTAGTAGGAGCCAGTTAGGCCCTTAAGACGCTGATATTTTCCCTCACTCAGGCCCAGCTACCAGCCTGCTTATTTGTCCCCTTCAACTGAGTGTTGAGAGCCACTATAGCTGGCACAGAACAGCAAGCATGAGTGAGAGAAGAAAACGCCCCTATGGGGGAACATTCAGAAAAAGAAAGAAAGAAAAGGAAGCTTTTCTATCTAAGCAGGAAGGAGCTCTCCTGAGATACATAGACACAAATGTTCACAGTGAGCCTTCCAGCCCCAATGAGGATGTGAGTAGTGAGGAGATGCCTGATCTTCCAGTTAGTCAGAGTGCAGGTGACCTGGCAGCTACTGCAGCATCCATGTCTCCATCTCAAATGGATGTAACCATGCACATTCCTGAAGAAAAGTGTAGATCAGAGAAGAGTGTGGTGGAGGCACAAGAAACAGCTGCTGCTGAACTTAGTTCCTTAAGTCTAGGTGACCCAGGACTGTGGACCCACTTGAGCAGTAGCCTGAGGGACTTCCTTGTACTGCATGGGCCACAGCAAGTGAAAAACTTCATGTTCCCCAAAGACAATGAAAATAGAAGTTTCCATCCAACACATTACTGGCATGATATCCCCAATGGTGACAAAGTGGAGAGGCCATGGCTTATGTACTCAAAAACCCAGAATGCTGCATACTGTTTTTGTTGCAAACTCTTCCAGACTAATGTTCCAGCCACATTGGGTTCTACAGGAACAAAAGGACTGGAAAAATCTGGCTAGAAATATGGCATGCCATGAGAAGGCAGCAAATCACCAGAGAGCATTCCATAGGTGGAAAGAGTTTGAGATAAAACACAGGTTAAAGGCCACTATAGATGATCAGCATGAAGAGAAGATTGCATCAGAGTCTCTTTACTGGCAAAATGTTCTGAAAAGGCTCATTGCCATTGTGAGGATGCTTGCTACCCAAAATCTAGCACTGCGTGGCACTTCAGATCAGCTGTATGTGCCAAACAATGGAAACTTCCTTAAAATTGTGAAGCTGATGGCTGAGTTTGATGCTGTGCTCCAAGAGCATCTAAGAAGAGTCACCACCCAAGAAATGTACACACATCACTATCTTGGAAAAACAATTCCAAATGAGATCATACAGTTACTGGCAACAAAAGTCAAACAGAAGATTGTGGCAGATCTGAAGTCAGCAAGATATTACTCTGTTATTCTGGACTGCACACCTGACATCAGCCATATGGAACACATGACTTTAATGGTGCCTTTTGTAACAACAACAGAACCTAGTGAAAATGTCCCTGCAATGGTGACTGTCAGAGAGCATTTTCTAGAATTTATTGACATTGATGATATTACAGGAGCTGGTATGACAACTGTGCTTCTTAAAAAGCTGGAAGATATGGGAATTGCGATAGCTGACATGAGAGGTTAGGGCTACGATAATGGTGCCAACATGAGAGGACAGAACAGAGAAGTGCAGACACGGTCCGAGAGTTAAACCCTTGAGCTTTTTTTGTCCCATGCAGTTCTCATTCATTGAACTTGGTGGTCAGTGATGCAGCAGCAGCTTCTAATGAGGCTGCTGAATTTTTTAATGTAATTCAAAGCATCTATGTATTTTTCTCTGCATCAACTCATCGATGGCAAATTTTGAAGCAACATCTGGGAACATCCTCTCTGACACTGAAACCACCGAGTGCCACACGATGGGAAAGTTGAGTGGAGGCGATAAAGCCTATCAAACACCAAATTGGGAAGATAGATGATGCCATAGTTGCCATTATGGAAGATAATGCTATGACAGGAATTGTTCGTGGCAGAGGGAGATGGAATCACCAGAAACATACATAACTTCAAATTTTTGTGTGGCTTAGTGTTGTGGCATGACATACTGTTTGAAATAAATGTTGTAAGCAAGAGACTCCAAGGTGTTGACCTTGATATATCTGGAGCAATGGAACAACTGGACAAAGCAAAGTCATAACTACAGTCTTACCGGTCAGATGAGGGATTTCTGAAGAGTGCACAGAAGTTGACAGAGGAACTTCACACTGAAGCTATTTTCCCACCCATTTGAGTATACAAGAGTCACCGAAGAAGATGACATTTTGATTACGAGGCATGGGATAATCCCATAAGAGACCCCAAACAACAATTCAAAGTTGAATTCTTTAACCAGGTGCTAGATTGTGCAATACAGTCAGTTGAAGAACGTTTCATGCAGCTCAAGGAACACAGCAGTATATTTGGGATGTTGTATGATATTCCAAAACTCACTATACCTGAAGAAGACCTACACCAGCAATGCAGGGCACTAGAGACAGTTTTGACACATGATGACATGCACAATATTGATGCGAGTGATTTAGGTGATGAACTGAAAGCCCTTTCAAGATACATTTCAGCTGGATCAACTCCAAAGGCTGTTCTGGAATATATGTGCACAAATAAGATGACCACCCTCTTTCTAAATGCTTTTGTTGCTCTGTGCATACTTCTAACAGTTCCTGTAACAGTTGCCAGTGGAGAACGCAGCTTCTCCAAGCTGAAGTTAATAAAAACACATCTACGCTCCACAATGACACAGGAGAGGCTGGTCAGCCTTGCAACCATCTCAATAGAGCATGAGCTGGCCCAGACTGTGGACCTTCAGGAAGCAGTTCAAATCTTTGCAATCAAGAAGGCACAGAAAGCACCACTTTAATTATTCAATGCCAGTGTTTACTATGCAGACAAGAAAAGTTACATTTGCTGTTCAGGCGTTTGAAAGTTAAGTGTTACTTAAAATTTTTGAACAAGGCATTTTAAGCGGTTAGTTCTCCTTTATTGGAGTAGGTAGCAGAGCAGTACCATGGGAGGAGTAGAACAGGAAGAAGGCAGAATTGAGACCTTTCAAAGTTTTGGCCCAAGCAAGGAGGCATGGGGGGCGTCATTTGAGCTCCCTGCCTCGGGTGCCAAAATGTTGTGGGCTGGCCCTGTTAGTACAGGATGTACATCAATGCAGCACATTAAAAATTATTCTGTAGGCATTAGCAAAGGCATTTACCATGCTTTCTTCCTCCAGTCAGTAGCTTAGGCAAGCCCTGATGCTGTTGCAACAGACTTACTCAAGCTGTCACTTATGAACACTAGAATCTGTACAGCACCTAGTACTACTGGGCTATAATCCCCCAAATGTATCTCTTGTATCTGATATGGCCAATTTACAATATGGAGTGAGAGATAAACTGCTCCTTCTCATGCTTCAATGTCTAAGTATTTTAGAATACAACATGTCTTGAACAAACCTTACCCTTAACTACCCTTGCACGTTTATTCCCAGAGCCCACACAACAGCAATGTGATTGAACAGATGGAACGACGTTCTGGGTGCTGGCGGGCAAACAAGCATAAAAGTATTCTACTTTTCTTCTAGAGAACCTGCATAGTCACAAGTACTGACTTTTAAAGCTGAGCAGAGTTTAAAGGATTTATTTGAACATTCTTGTGTGTGTACTTTGTTCTCTTCAAGAGCAGGCAAAAGCATGCTGATATTTTATTAAAATTAATCTCTTTTGCAAAATAGCAAATATCCAGCAATCTTATTTAAATGGATCAAAGAAGGGTCACACATTTTCTAACAAGTATATAATGTGGCATTAGTATTGATACCTTAGATGACTACAAATTATTTTACTATACCTGAAGCTCATTGTCTCTCTTCAATATCCAAACTTACTAAATAATGTACGAGGAAGTTACTTAATTTTAGGCTACCAACACAAGGTCTTTCTCTTCAGTATTAAATATGTAATTTTCAAGCTGTCACCAACACACTAGATAATCATTTTTCAAATACCACCAGTTCACACTAAAGATTTATTAAACTAACAAGATACGAATCATACTTCATCTCATTACTTTTTCTTGTACTATGTGGTAGATCCTTTTCTCATACAATCTCCCTCTCGCAATTTTCCCTCTCTTGGTATTGACATTTCCTCATCAATTGTTGGGAGTGGACCACATCCACCCTGACTGAATTGGCCTTCAACACTGGTTCTCCACTTGTAAGGTAACTCCCTTCTCTTCATGTGCCAATATATATTTATGCCTGTATCTGTAATTTTCACTCCATGCATCTGAAGAAGTGGTTTTTTTACTCATGAAAGCTTATGCCCAAATAAATTGGTTAGTCTTTAAGGTGCCACTGGACTCCTCATTGTTCTTCTATTTTTATCTCTTTGGAGCAGGGTGTTTTATTCCATGTTTGAGCAACCAAGGAAACGCAAGAAAAAATGATGTTGAACACAGACTAAAACCAAGAATTGGTCTATAAATAATCTTATAAACAAACAGTTATTTTTTCAATCAGAGGGGAACTAGGTTTGACACTTCACCAGTTTTCATGACTGTGAAAACAAACAAATATAAATCAATTACAGACCCAGTCATTAATTTTAGATCACCACCAAAATGCACTACAATATTCTTTTATTTAGTTTACAGTAGAATCTATCAGTACAGGTTGCAGAAAGAAAATGTTTAGTGCTATTTACAATTTGTTTTAAAACTCTGCTCTATACAAATTTAATTCTGATCAGTATGAACAATATTTTTGTAGGCCTATGGCATATAAAGCATTTCATCAAAGCAGTAACAATGGGTAAAATAACCTGATTACATTTGAATGATGCTGACCATTTGAAAAAACAATTACACAGAACATCTGTAAGGGCTGTGAACACTTATTAAGTACAGAACACAACGTCAACCTGTGACTTTTTTTTTTTTTTTTTTTTTTTTAAGGCTAATGCTATTTATATGGAATATTGTTCTATTATGCTACACGCCAATCTATATTTAAGTTCTATAGTTATGCATTTTATAAGATTTTTATTAAATATATTCTACACTTATTTGTAATTTCATCCAGGAAGAATTCTTCCCGAGTGAAAAAATATAAAATCTTTTATATTTTTACAGGTTTAGATGAAACTAGCTCATGCTTTAGTGCTGTGCAAATTTCTTTAGCATATCAACCTTTAAATTATTGATATGAAATAAAATGGCATCCTTTTTAATTATGTATGCCTTTAAAAATCAGCTTCTGATTTGAATACAATTGCAAGCACTAATACCAAATGCAGATTACATAAAGAAACAAAACTAGTACTATGGCAGAGGTTTTTTCTTTTTTTAACTCTAATAATTCTTTTGAAGTCTCTTATGAGTAAGCATGACTCTGGACACCGAGATACAGAGGAGTAAGAATTACTGAAAAACATCAATTGCTGATATTCAAATACATAAAATTGATTAGTAAATGAAGTCTTCTAATATTTATGCACAATAATAAAAGCCTATGAACTACAGGAAATTACCCCTCCCATATTAAGGCTAGGAAATGCACTCTCTGCACTTGTTTGTGCTGTATGAACATGCACTCAACTAACATAGGAGAAAAGAGTGCACCATAATAATGAAAAAAAAATCAGTTTCAACAGCCCTCTACAGAGTGCTTTTAAATTACAGGCACATCGTTTTTCGTTTGTTTGTTGCAGTGAAAATATATATAGCCAGGCTCGGTTTAGTTAGTATTCTGTGCCAGTTCGGCCACCAAGATTGACTTGGTAGAATTGACTTCAGTTTTTCCTTTGAGTTGGCCATTAGTGAGCTTTTTTAAATTATGGATTCTATTTTCCAGTGCTGTATTATATATTGGAGATTATTTCTAGGTGTCTCAAATATCATTAGAGATTGCTGATGAGAAACATATTGTCAACTGTTTTTAGTGCAAATTGCATCTAGAAAGCTTGATTGATTAGTTCCGGTTAATGAAGATTTTTGTGGCAGCAAAATGATTTCTGCTGTGGAAGAGAACACTAACTTTTTCTGGAGATTGAATGCATTCAAGAACCGATGTATTATAAGATTATTCAGCAAGAAAAAAATAGAAATAAAATTATAATGCAATTGTTCATAGATCTCTCCTTTAAAAAAAGAGAATAATGTGACAGTGTTTATGTAATATTTCAGTTCCATGGATTTACAGACAGGCTCTTCCTAAAGGTGTTTGAAGCAAGGTTGGGCCTCTTCTATTCCAGCAGCATGAAAGACAAAGACTATATTACATCACACTTAGCAGGTAAAGCAGACAGAGTTTACAGGATCACACAGCAATTGCTCTCTCCAGTTTTTTCACGGTTCCTCTGACCTGTGGAACAACGAGAAGAAAATTTAGAAAACATTCAGTTGGGGCGAGCAGGGGGGATAATTGTTAATGATACAAGAACTATGCAAAAATTTTATCTTGTGCAACTTTATAAGCTCTGGAGAATACAAAAAATGTTACTCAGATACATAACTAAGAAATATGCTTTTTATTTTAGTGTGTCCAAAATCATTTGTTACTTGCTTGACAAGAACTATTCATAAACCATGAAGTTTTTTCTCCTTTCAAAACATCCAATGAAAACAATGACATTTTTGAACACGTGCCTATGCAGCTGAAGTTGGAAGCTCATCTAGTGTATAGCCTACCTTGAGAGTTTGGCTCTGGCAATGTCTCTCTAGCCACCAAATGCATCACCGTTGTCTTGCCAAAAGGAAGTTTTAATGCTGTGTGAAAAATAGAGGATGATTTAACAACACACAAACTCTTTTCATCACTACAGACCAAACCCAACTAAAACCATAACTTTAACTGGATTAGCTTTTTTCACAGCTTCCTACTTCTTACTTCAAAATTCATACTGCTTATTTACCAGTCCTAGAAAGAAGTTTTGTATAAATGTTACCCAGATCAGGGTCTTATAGAATGATCAAATGAAATACTGTGTTTTTAATGTTTGCCACTGTGAGGATGATAAAGTTATGTGGCCTGACCCTGCTCTCTTTGAAGTCAGTGGTACAATTCACTTTAATGGGAGCAGGAATGGTCACTTATGCCTTGATTCAGCAAAGTGCTTAATTTTAAGCATATGATTAGGCCTATGTGACCAACTTAAGCCACAAAATAAATACTTACTCTCAAGGAATTGAACAGCACACTAAAGTGTTCATTACCAGAAGCCTAACATTTTCCCAATTCTCTTGAAAAGTAAATAATCCAAATCTCTGATGATATGATGTGATATTTACAAATAATTTCATGGAATACCACCTCTCATTACAATGCCTCATGCTTTGACACTGAACACCCATCGCACATCAGTAGTATGTGAGAATAGTGCGTCTCCAGAAACTTTAAAATGTTGTTTAAAACCAGTTGTTTAAGACAAAGTGTTTTCCTCAACACTGTTACTACCATGTATTATTGAAATTGAAAGAATTTTAAAAATCTGATTTTCTTTTCACAATTCATTCCACTTTGCAGTAAAACTAGACTGGTCAGCTTCATATTCCAGTTTTCATAATATTGTGTTTACGTTTTCAGCACTCTGGAGTTTTGATAAATATTCCACTGCAATCTCACTGACTGAAAAAAACAAAACAAAACAAAACAAAAAACCACAAAAAAACAAAAGCATTTATACCCTATTCATATTAGGTTTGGCACACCCTTTTAAAATGCCCCTCCACCCCCAGGCTTCTATGTTCTGGACTGCAACTTTGTGACAGCATTTGTTCAGTATGGTTATTTGTAAAAGTTTCACATATTACTAGAGCTTCATTTTCTCCTGAGGTTTTAAATTTTCCACTATAAATTAGGAGAAAAATATCTTCCACCACATGCTCCATTAAAAAAAAAAATCAATCAATCAATCAATCAGGGAATATCATCAGCAATAGATGAACCAGCTCAGTTTCTCTTTAGGAATTCAAGGTACTTCCTTCCCACCCCCTTAGTATTTGGGCACAAATACATAACACTGTGACTTAAAGCAGAACCTTAACCTCTAATGAGCAGCTCACAGCTTCCATTTTCACCATCGCAGAGTCTGCCATCTGCATTTAGAAACAATCCATCCACAGTAACTGAGGAGGGAGGATGGAGAGGAGGTATCCTAAAAGTCTCTCTTTTCCATTTCAATCAATCAGTTTATTGCAGATCCAAGAATTAGATATAAAACTAAACCTGGTACTTGCTGTCCAGAAGCACTAGATCCCTAGTTTAGATGGACTAATGTAATTAATTTAGTTTTAAAGCAGCCAAACATTTTCTTTGTAAACATTTTCATTTAAAACAGGCAATTATCTTATCGGGAGAAAGAGAGACATTGAAATCCCTTTGAAATACAATTGACATTTGTACTTCCCAGAGAACAAGCTATGTGGTAAATTAAGGCTATGTCTGCATTACGCAGCTTTTAGCGACATGGCTATGTCATACAGCCGTGCCGCTAAAAGTTGTGCAGGAGAGCCAACAAACTTTCACCTTCAACAAGCGGTGTTTGTGTTGTCGGCAGGAGAGTGCTCCTGCTGACAACGCGCTGTTCACACTGGCACTTGTCGCAGCAAAACTTTTGTCTTTCGGGGAAGGGTAGTTAACACCTCCGAAAGACAAAAGTTTCGTCATTCAATTGCCAATGTAGACATAGCCTAAATCTGAAGGGTGTTTTTGCCCTATGGAAAGCAGCCTGTGCCTACACATAGAGCTGTTGATAGTTCTAAGTCTAAAACAGTTCTAAGTTTTGAGTCTTTGATACAACAGATAACTCTACAAAGGCTATATATTTTCAGTTCAAGAAGAAAATCCCTTTATATCTAGTTTATGTGAACTCTAAGAAGCCATTAGAGAAAGACCAAAATGTTACAAACTAATCACATTAGGGAAACGTTACCTAAACTCAAAAGGACACTAGAGGCGACTATGCTCTGATTAGTGAACTGTGGAGCTTGATTATTTACAGTAATCAAGCAAAAGTATGCTAATATTTCAATGAATCCAGAGGTGGGCAAACTATGGCCCGCGGACCGTCCTGCCCGGCCCCCGAGCTCCTAGCCCGGGAGGCTAGATCCGGCCCCTCCCCCGCTGTTCCCCATCCCCTGCTGCCTCAGCTCGCTCGCTCCGCCACCGGCGCAATGTTCTGGGCGGCAGGGCTGTGAGCTCCGGGGCAACGCAGCTGCAGAGCCCGGCCTGATCCGGTCTCTGTGCTGCGTGGTGACGGTGGCATGGCCCGGCTCCAGCCAGGTGGCGCATCTGTAGCACCGCCAGCCATTGGTGCTCCAGGCAGAGCAGTAAGGGGGCACGGAGCAGGGGGGACTGGACAGAGGGCAGGGGAGTTCGGGGTGGTGGTCAGGGGGTGGGAGTGTGGATAGGGGTCGGGGGGGGAGGGGTCCCGGGAGAGGGTCAGTCAGGAAGGAGGGGGGGTTGGATGGGGCAGAGGTCCTGGGTGTGTGTGTGGCAGGGGTCCGGGGGCGGTCAGGGGACAAGGAGCGGGTGTGTGTGGATGGGGCAAGGGTCCCAGGGGGGCCATCAGGGAACGGGGGGGTTGGATGGGGCAGGAGTCCCGGGGGGGGGGGCAGATAGGAGGTGGGGACCGGGCCACAGCCCCTTCCCCTAACCGACCCTCCATACAATTTACAAAATCCGATGCGGCCCTCAGGCCAAAAAGTTTGCCCAACCCCTGAATTAATGACTTGCATAATTTTTACACAAATCCTTGTCAGTGGTTTCTAATATTTCCCTGGACTGGGGTACAGGAAGGGAGACAGAAGCATCTTTGGTCTATGCCCAATTCTCCTTTCCTGTTGACTTTTTTGGTTCTTTTTCTCTTTTCCTCAATCTTTATTCTATTCTCTTCATTTAGTTCTACTGTCCTCTCTCTGTTATATCCTTCCTTCTGCCTTCTCTCTCCAGTGTTCTTTCTCTTCTTGTCTTTTTTTTAAATAAAAAGAAGAAATATTAGAGCAATTCTCTACTGCTTCCTCCCAGTATCTGATTGGAGAAGGAGAACTTTTGAAATTCAGTACCTCATGGCTATTTGTAAAATTATTTCAACCACAAGCTACTAGTCTAATAATCAACTATCATATGAAATTTGCTGGTGGCATCTGGACAACATGCTCTCTTCACCCATCTTTTCACACACTGACTACTAGCAGCAACAGAAAATGATGGCTCTGGCACTTCTTGCAACAATGACACTGCAGACTTTAGAGACAAATGTTTTTTTCTATTACCATTCCCACTGATACTTTTGCTGTTTCCTCAGTCATTCTTGTATCAGCAGATACTTCAAAAGATGCATTAACACAGGCTGGCAGACAAGCTCAAGACTTTTTTTTTTTTAGTTTTAAGCTTCAACTTGAGTCAGTTTTTACAAGATGAAGTTGAGTTTAGAAGTAGAAAACTGCCATACTTTGACAGAAAGAACCAATGATGATATTTAGTGTCCAAAGAGACAATCTGAGGGTACTGTTGCCTCTTCAATTGACAAAATGACTTTCAGTGGTGAACAAACCCAAACTCCAGTCAATATTCACTAACCACTTGAGACAAATGAAATACTCTTTATAAATGTTATAATTCAACACCCCTAAAATCCTTGGATGAAAAGCACTACAGAAATGCAAAGTATTATAACTTCATGAGAAACTGCATACGGGACTAAACATTAAGTTACTATTTTCTTTGGTTATGGAATGTATCCATGTTGCTTTAGTAAAGGTTGCCTCAACATTTCTTTTCAGAAATTTATAACTCAGCTGTATAATCTTACGCCAGGTTGAAATTTATTACATTATTTCATCAGTGTTGAAATAAATGTTTTAAAACAAACCTCTAAAATATAACAACAGAAATAGATCTTTGTAATACATGAAATATCCCTGGGGTAAAGCTGTGATGATTAAATTGCAATACATCAGTGAGCAGCAATCTGAACTAAAATTCCCTGATCCCAAGTATGCATTTAAAATCCATGAAACTGTCTTAATGTAGCAACCAAAAGCATGCTAGCTATTCTTTCCAGCGGAACTGCATAAACAAACACTGACTCTTGTTAGTACTGTGAGGTCCAGTCTGATCTCAGTGAAGAAAGTGAGTAACAGTGGTGCAGAGAAACACCTACAGATGAATACCAAAGAACATCTTGTATAGCCATCTTTGGCTGGAGAATGATAATCTGAGGCAAGGCATCATGGGAGGAGAACTTGATGATGATTCAAGATTGGGGCTGGAGGCAAAGGGTGGGGAAAAGAGGCAATATCTTCACTAACACTAAGAACACACTACTTCTCACTACCTTCAAGAGTGGGCCATAAAATTGCACAATAGGTATTAAGTATATTAACTAACTGAAACCTAAATAAAAATTCCACAGTAAGTGACAGTAACTACTAAGCAGTACACAGTGAAGTTTGCCATTATTTAGCCAGTATATAAAGTAGTATTAGAAAACTGAACCATATGGAGGATAAATTGTCCAAAAGGAGATCAGCAGCCCAGGTTAGTAATGGCTAAAAGTGGTTATCTGATAGCAGTATAGTAATCTATTTAGAATGAATTGGTGGCCCCAGTCCAGTTCTTAATGGAGAAGCATCTATATCACATTAACATCTATAGCACAAAATGACAACCTGGTTACCATTATCAGCAAATAGGGCAACAATTAAAGGAGAAAAATAGAATGAACTGCCCTGTCATTCTAGAGCTAGTCTCTCCAAGTTGGTGTTGAAGCACATATGGAACTTTCCCCCGTAATATATTGCATTTGTTTTCCAGAGTCTTTATATGAGAGATTGTGGGATGCCAAAGATTCAAGTTTCTCACTCGTGCCACAAGAGTGAAAGAAACAAAAAACAAAAACAAGAAAACAAACAAAAATGATAAATACAAAGGGATAAAGTCATTCCAGGTTTACCTTTAACTTCAAGACAGCTACCCCAGGGATGACTTTATATTACATTCTCCCCTCCCTGTGCATTCATAATTACCAACCGCATTAACAAAAGCAATTTGTAGACAGAGAGTATAGGCCCTTTAGCTCACTTGTCAGATTTGGTAAGAACAAACAGAAAAGAGATATTTTGTTTAGACATTTATTTTACTTAAAATTCATATGGCTGCCACCACCTCTGGAAGGAAATATTGTTAATTACAATACATTGTACTACATCTCTGATAAATAAAAAATAAATCTACAAAATATAACAAACCCTACAAAATATAACTAGAAAACATGACACAAGGGGGCACAGTTGAGCTGTATTTCCTCACCGTACAAAGTGAAGCCATTTACTTTTGTTCTCACATAACTATACAATTGTATCCTTGGGACAGAGCTAGATAGCAAAAATATTTTCCCTCATTCTAATTCACAGGGTGTCTTTCTTCATTACACTAAGTTCCCTAGTATTGTTTAACCAATTATCATAATCTTTATCCATCATTTTTAATATACTTAGAGATTTCTGAAATGGTTTACAATATAAATGCAGTATACGAGAAGTGGAATAAAATCATCCCTCTTTCATTAAAAGACAATAAAGATAGCATAACTATTCCTTACGTGAGAAAAGATTTAATTAACACAGTGATATATACCATAGTCTAACATCCGATTCTAGCAGGATGGAAAAATATAAAGGTAACACAGAGTATCCCATGTTATGCTACTGCAAAACTGTGCAGAAAACCATGTTGTGACCTTGAAGTCTAGACAGGGTTTTACTTAAACGAGAATTTACTGCATTTTAAATAAATATTCACTTTGCCTGGGGAGAAAGTTGCTAAATTATACTACCCAAGTTATTTCATTACCTCCTAGTGTCACATTGCCATGAAGAAACCGTCCTTGATAAATAAGCCGCAGAATATTTGGACTGCTGACCTGCTCTTCTTCCCAGTCTGAAAAAGAAGAAAGAGGACTTTGTCAGGAACAGCCCAGTATATGCATCTTTTGTTTATTTTCCACCCATCCAGGGTAGAAAAGAGAAAACAGAACTCTTCCAGTTCAGTACTAACAAGACAGTGCGGCCTGCTGCTTAGTGAAGAGGATCTGAAGTTAAGACTCATAAATTCTGTTCCTTATTTCCCGATTCAAACTTGGGCAATAACTATTCTGTGCCTCACTTTACTTCTGCTTGATTAATGGTTATAAGTTCCTATGTAAAATATTTTTAAATGGATGATAAGGAAGACATTTCCTGTTCCCATTCAGATTCAATATCCATCTGGATAATTTAGTTCCATTTTCCTTCAATTGCAGGAGATTCTCAATCTCTCTGCCCTCCAACATTGAACTGGCTTAGTTAGCCTCAGTCCAGCACTGATAAGCAGCCACATATATAGTAGGAACACATCCGTTCTCTGATTTGAAAATCATTTAAAATCAGTAAGCAGAAGTGCTCCTCTCTGTGGCTACTGGGCAGTGCTGAATGAGGATTCGATATAGCCAGCTGAATTTCCAGAGGGCATAATGAACTGAACATACCCTGAAATTCCTGGAAAAGCTGAATGGTAAGCATCTGACCCTCGCAGAAGAGAGACATATTGATATATTTCAGGAAATTTCTCATAGCACAGTCTGTACAGATTTATGTATCACAAATTAGCTGTAAGAATAATGTATAAGTAATGTATAAGATTAGATGATCACTTATTATTCCCGTTTAAAATTTCTGTCACTTTTCAAAATAAGTAAGCGAATCTACATTACGTTTTAAGGGTAAATATTGCAAAATATTAACAAAATTATTTAATTTAAATCTGCTCTTTCAGAATGATGTCTTCCATTCATTTGCTGACCAGGTATCTGATACCAACTGTTCACAAATCTGCTTCTGCTCTGCTCCATCTATTGCAACGTTTATATAGCAAACACGAATATTCAAGAAGGGATAGGAGAAGCCAACCTGTATGCCCAGAATACACAATGGATAGAATGGGCAGAGAGGAAGAGAAAACGAAACAGGGTGTTGGGAAAGGTATTTAAAACATTGTAGAAAGTGTGTGACCAGCATCTGGTAGGAAAAGATGCAGGAAGAGAAGAGTGAAAAATGAACTATTACAATTGATGCCTGTTCACTTTTAAAGGCATCAGGCACAATGACACATGATTAGAGGTGTACAGAGCACTACAAAGTCAGGCTGACATCAGAAACAAGTATGAGCAGAAAGTGTGTAGAAGTGGCAATATTTACTAGATGCCTTAGAACGTTTAATTTACAAGATATGATAAAACTAGACAACTGAAACCATCTGAAATTCAAATGTTTTCATTTACTACCTGTTTTAATTGTAATGCAATTCAATGAAGGGACATTGATATGCTGTCAACAGAGTAGTCAAAATGAAGTGTTACAATTATCCTGCTTGATGAAACTTTATCTATAATTTTCTGCTTTAAGATTTCACTTCTCTGACTTCCATCTGGACTGCAGTAGTAAAGTTTAGTCAATTTGTGGTACTAGAAAGATGCAATAATACAAGAGGCCAGAAGATGAAAAGTGGCAATTTGGTATAATAATTCCTGACAGCTGATCCACCATTTTATGTTTTTAATCTTTGCTCCTTGGCAGAGTCTCAAGAATTCTTCCCCTTAAACAGTCACTCGGGATATTTAATTTTCATAATGAAAACACTTCTCCTCTAGCTAAACCAATGAAAAAAAGTTCAACTGAAAAGTGTCGTAACACTTATCAGATGATCATCATAAGAGAAAATTTAATTATTCCAACAACTATACTCAGAGGATAAAGTAATTTTAGAAAAGAGGGAATAAAGAGAAACTTTTCTAAGTGGGATATCAACTATCTGTATGAGCAAATGAATCAAACTGGACATTCTCACTGGGAGAGAGGAAGTTTTTAAATCAAGAGTATTTCAACCTATACATGGGGGGAAGGGAATAGAAGAGAGGTGGCTTACGCATGCTTGCTTATAACCCTTTACGATCATTAAATGTAGTCAGGACACTGTGCAAATTTCAGATATATGGCAAAATTCTGCAGTGATGTAAACCTAGACTATCTCCACCAAACTCAGTGAAGTTAATTTGGATCTTTATTATTGTACCTAAGGGCACAATTTTGCTCATATCTCTGAAAGACCCCAAGGCAGATTCATCTCTGCACATCTTATGGACAAATCAAACACAAATAAAAACTTGGGGGAACAGATTCAACTTAGTCACCTCTTTAAATAATTTTAATGCGTCATTCTAGGTCAGTTATAATCAACTCTTGTAACAAAGATAGTTTTCAAATTGTAAAGAACAAGAGATTATTCACATATGCTCACTGCTTGGGAAGACTTAAACAAGTCAATAATAAATTTCAGAGCTGCCTCAATTTTAAATAATTCCAGTTTCTGCCTCTCAAAACTAACCTACACATGAAATGTAATTTAAAGAGATGGGGAAGAGAGATCAGATCACAATTTCAGTGACAAATCTAGGCACTGTACTTTCTCCAAAATATAAATAAGGCCATTAGCAGCTATTTGTTCTCAAGATTTACATACACATAACAACTTGACCTGTAATCATATTCAACCTATGAGCCATTTCTCTGGTACATGTTGCATACTATGATCACACATTAACTTTAGCTGTCATTCCTTAGGTAATATGGAATGGCTTTCTTCCTATTAAAATACGCAATTTTCTTCATTCTTTGTTATGTGTACAAGGTACAAATCTCAGTTTTAATTGCTGCTGCACAAGTCTGAAGTAGTCAATTTGATGAAATGCTACTAATTAGCTGCACTGACACATAAATAAGAGTCACAAAATATAAATCCCTGATCCTGCGTTACATAGTGCCTGTTATGCGCCTTAATAGCTAGGCATGGTGCTGACTTGAAACTGCAATGTAATATACTCAGGAGTAGATTTAAGAGGACAAAACAGTTGGTTCGGCCATTACTAATTCACACAAATGCACACAAGATAAATGTTATTTTGTTTGTTGTAGTGTGCTTCTAGAACACAACTATGTACAATAGATACCGAGTTGCCATACCAAAGAGAATCATTGGTACAGCTAGTTTGGTATAAAAAGTCTCCAACAGCTGTGTGTCTGTAGTGTATCTAATTCTTTAGAGGACCACAACCCTTGCATTTTGTCAACTGTGTAAAACTGCATCAGGGCAAGAAAAATTCCTTCCTAACCTTCAGAGAAGGCCAGTTTAGGGCCTAAGCATGCATTATTGAAACTCCTATTGACATAGATAGTATAGATGCACATTATTCCTGTTCATGTGCAGTAATTTTCTAGTCCTCTTGAAACACTAAGTTAATGGCTCCCAATGACTTCCAGTATCAGAGAATGTCTAAGTATTTTCTTTCATCAAATGTAATGTCATTTCTCAGTTTTGGCTAGTGTTTTGGATTGTGGGACAGGGAGACAAAGATTGCCTGATCAGTTTTTGTTGAACCATTCATTATTTTACTTACATATACGCACACCCCATCTCAGATTACACTTCCACTTTCCAAAATAAATACTCCCAAATTAATTTAAAATATCTTCATATTTAAATATGTTCCCAGCTTCCCTCATCCTTTAAAGTCTTTTACAATTGCCTTTTATCATTACCTTTTTTCTGGACATTACTGTATTTGTGTAGATTGTTTCTGAGGCAAAGCAATCAAAAATACAAAATATCTGAGGTTCAGTTTTGCTATTTCATTCATATAAAATGGCATATTTTCCTTACTCATCCTTAGACAACGAGTATAATATTTAACACCTGCCAGGATCAGTCTGCAGTTATTAGATTTGTACCAAGTCTGTCTAGAAAAAAAAAAATCCTGATGAGGGAAAAGCAGTACGTAGGGCATAATGAATATGAGAAGTAGCCTCAGAAGTAAGCTGGGTAATGGACTATACTTCAACATCTCAAATTTTGTACCATTGAAAACAGAAGAGAAAATATATCTATATAAAACTTCCATTTGAATATGAAGAACAATGATAAAATTACTAACATTTCAGTCTTAATTACAGAAGAGTAAACAGTTTTAACTGGACAGTTAGCAGCTAAAGGACACACAAAAATGACTCACCCATAGGCCAGTTGTCATACACATGTTTTGCAATATCTGCAGCAGAATCATTTGGTGAAAACAAGAACTCTTTCGTTTTCCCACTTACCAAGATGAGGCGCAAATTTATCTGTAAAGAAAATGGAACATTAGGAAGATTTGCTAAAAATAAACACAAATACACTATTTAATCAAAAGGTTATTTAAATTGCTAAAGTTATTCACTGGTTTTAGCAACTAATCAGTCCAAATTAGTCTGGAAAAAAATCATAACAGATTTAAACAGAAAATACTAAATATAGACAACCGTATTTCAAGTACCTTTGCATCAACCAAAAAGGGTGGACAGAAGGGAGTTCTCATAGATGGGCTAAGAAGATGACAATTATACTAATAAAATGTGTCATGTCTATTAAGGCTCTTTAATTTGATCACAATATATGCAAATGCCTTTTATTAGTTATCAGTACCATCAAATAGTTTTTCAAGGAACAAACAAGTTCAGTAAAAAACATTGCTAAATGCTAAGAATTCATCTTCTCTTGACCTTTTACTTAACTGAAGGAGGGAAAATAAGAATAATGCCTGCTTCCTTAACATATGCAAATTTAAAAATATGAAATTCAGCTTCTAAAAATTAAACCCTAGACTAACTCCAAATCCCTCTTCTGTATATTTGCTACCTTGACTGTCAGACCTGACTTTACCATATGGATAGGGTAAGCAGATGTCCCATTTTTGGGGACTTTTTCTTATATAGGCGCCTATTACCCTTCACCCCCATCCCGTTGTTTCACAGTTGCTATCTGGTAACCCTACATATTGACCCACTACAGAATATTAGAAAGTCAAACAGCCTCCGGCCAGTGCCCTGTACGTTTTAGGACATTGAATCTTCTGCTGATCTCTCTAACTTGCAACTTTACTTTTCTCCAATGGAGAATAAAATCCTGACTCCATGAAGTATTAATGACACCATGATTTTTCTTTTAGATGTCTCAAACAATACCTCCAGATATTGGCATCTTCAGTTATTATTTTTCCCCTTTCTGTTTGAGAGTTACTAACGGACTGAATCAAGATATTCCATCCCACAGGACCCAGCCCACGGACCAAAAAATGATAGAAAGGCATCCTAATGTCTAGGTCTCAAAATGGCCCTGGTTATACCAATATTAGTAGTAGCTAAATGACTGTCAAAGCCTACATTTCCATCCCCACCCCCTCACCATCTACCATTCTGTCCCAAGTAATAGAACATAGTGATAACCACAGGGCTAACCTCTGCAGCACACTTGGGTGTGCTAGACAAACTGCCTTCAAATATATGGTTCCCCTTGCCATTTCTCACCCCTTGCTATAAGAGAACAAATATTTAGTATAACAATAAAAAGTGAGGCTTTACTGGATTTTGACCTGTATTCAACAGGGTTTTTTTCCCATTTGCTATATTACTCACAAATAGGAGCTTGAACAGAGATTCAGCTTGAAAGATCTACAGGACATGATATTTCTATCAGTTTTTTCTTTGTCTGAAATTCACTTAGGAATCCAGTAAGGGGGGAGGAGGGGGAGAAATAGGCTACTATACAAATGAAGTGGTTATTCTCTTTCTTAAACTCCTGACTGTCATAATGGCAGAGATCTTGTTTTTTGACTGCAGTCCAAATGTCAACTTTTTTTTTTTTTTTGGTGCATAAAGCCCCTAAATAATGTTTTGGTATACCAGAATACTTATTATTGCTTGCATTGTTCTGTACAGCACAGATAAAGTCAAAGAAGATGTAAGGCAGGAAGGGGCAGGAGTTTTAGAAAAGTTACTTAAACAAGGAAGATTCTTCAAATGCTCAGACCAACCCCAACCAAAAATATTAAGAACAGTCATATTGAGAAAGTAAAAGAAGATTTCCAAATAGGCTGTTGACAGACGCATATTACAGCATATGGAAGAACTGTTTGAATTGTGTGTGTTTGGAGATATTCAATGCTAAAGAAAAACCTCTAAACCTACAGTGCTAGATGGAGCTAACTGTTTCAATAGTCTGTGTTATATTTTAACAACTACTGTCTCTACTGTCACTGAATTGCCAAACAATCCAGAAGGTTGAGAAAGGATCACATAATCTAAAATAGTTACACTACTACTTTTTTAGGTGCTGAATAGTCTTGTCACCAAACATTGACTGTCTAGCACTGCCAAAGACCGATGAGCTAAAACAGACAGAGCAATGTCTAAGGCAGGGGTCGGCAACGTTCGGCACCCTGGCGGGCCGGGCCAGTTTTATTTACCTGCTGACGCGGCAGGTTCGGCCGATTGCGGCCCCCACCGGCCGCGGTTCGCCGTCCCAGGCCAATGGGGGCGGCGAGAAGCCGCGGCCAGTGGGGGCCGCAATCGGCCGAACCTGCCGCGTCAGCAGGTAAATAAAACTGGCCCGGCCCGCCAGGGTGCTTACCCTGGTGAGCCGCGTGCCGAACGTTGCCGACCCCTGGTCTAAGGCAATAGTCCTTGTATTAATCAGAGAACTTATTCCCCACTTAGAACAGCATATAGGGGATGGCATATTTCCTTGTTTTTCTGCTTCTTAGGCTTGTCAGGCTCACTACGGAAAACAAAAATTATGTAAAAATAGTGTGAAAATGTAAGTAAAATTAAAGTAACTAACATTTCTGTAAGGACCTAACAGACCTCTGAGTAAATATACAATTTAAAATGAAGAGGAGCAACAGAAATAAAAAACTGAGTAAAAATGCTCATGGACATTTATCCTATGTGGCTGACTCCATTACTGCTGAAGTTCTGCTATTGTCTCAGAGGTTCACATGATCCTGTGATCCAATATCAAGATGCTTCAGGAAAAGCTAACAAATTTTTGAAGAGTATACTGTAACTATATGTAGACTAGGGTTTTTTATTTTTGTTTCAAAATGTGACCATTCCTGAATATTAGCAAAAGCCTGAAGCAAATCTCTAAAATATTTAAACAGATGTTATGTCAAGTCATGCAAGGAAACAACTGCTCTAATAAATGGTTAAATATTTTCTTACTTATAGCACTGTAGACTACAGTCATATTTAGTGTGCGTGCTTGTCTAAATTTTAAATCTCATTTTTTAAATCTTCTCTTGAAGGAATCTTACTGTTCATGGTGGTGTGACAGTCCCATGAGGTCTGAATCTGAAAGTCTAGTCTTTAAAATCTCCTTGAGGCACCGTGAACTGTTAAAGGCATTCAACTGCTATGCTACTTACTCTGCAAAACTCTTTGATTAAGAAGATCTTTTTAAACATACTATTGCAAATTTGTGAGTATGAATGCATGTAGTAGGGGAGAGCCTGGGTAATGGAAGAGTTATCTAATATACAAGTAGCTAATTTTAAACTCCTAAGGTTATACAATGATTCAGATGCCAGTTGTAGAATACATCATATCTCATCATTTGAAACGCTGCAATGGAATTAAAATGTGTCCTCCTTCTTCCTAAGGAGGTCCTATCCTTGTTATGCCTTCTGTGCTTTTCATGATCATGGCTGGTTTGTTCCTCCATGAGGGATAGGATAACAATGAGTCTTGTGATTCTTTTTATGAAGGATACAGAAGATAGATTCCAGCCTCTTGCTGTGGGCAAGACAACCCAGAGTCTTTGCTGTGAATTTTAAAATTCAAGTTTCTGTGTTGTAGTAATAACTGAGATGTTATTGATGAAAGGTGAAAAGAGCCAGCGATGTTAGAAGTAATATTTAGTGTCAATTCTGGACTGTGTCCACTCTGGTTGGTCCTTGCAGAATCAAATTATGAACATTACGTTTGAGAATTTTAAGCATATACAGTCACTAACTTTTTAAGTTATCTTTCATACCCCTCATTTCTTGGCGGCTTAAAATGTTTTTAGGAACATTTTAAATGTGGGGAAGGAAGTGGCTTGGTGAACAAATTTCTTCACTGCAAGCACGTTTACTGGGTGAAAATGTCAGCCATTTCTGAAAAACAGTCTATACAATTGTTTGAATGCTACAGACTCCCTAGAGTTTTATTTTCTGGCCCAAGATAGGATTCTGCAACACAAGAATACTGTAAACCGTTGTAAACAGCAAGAAGTGAGCAACGTAAGTTACAGTATTTCCATCCTATTCTATTAATTTAGATATTGATATTATCAATTTTTATATTACAGTGATGACTGGAGGCTTCCAATCAGGAAAAAAGGACCTTCGTAAAGCTATACGCTCAAACAGTGTCAGCACCTGTCCTGAAGAATACAGTCTATGATGTATCAGAGGGGTAGTCGTGTTAATCTGTATCAACAAAAACAACGAGGAGTCTGGTGGCACCTTAAAGACTAACAGATTTATTTGGGCATAAGCTTTCGTGGGTAAAAAACCCACTCCATGCATCTGAAGAAGTGGGTTTTTTACCCACGAAAGCTTATGCCCAAATAAATCTGTTAGTCTTTAAGGTGCCACCAGACTCCTCGTTGTTTTTGAGTCTATGATGAGGTCTCTGAGATAACTTGGGATTGGGTTGGGGGTTTTATTTTTCCACAAAGTATGCAACATTTACAAAATTGTGGGAAGAACATTTCTTCTCTGTCATGCTCAGGAAATATGTTTAAATGAAAAACTTGTTGGGCCAAAGAAGTAGAGAGGGTGGCAAACAGCATATAAAAACACACAGATTTAAGTTTTCCTTTTTGCAGTCTGATATATTTAGTTCCTGGTTCATTTTCATAATTAATGTTTTAAAAGAGAGAGATGTACTCCAAAGCTTAAAGTTAAATCTGGAGCTGCTAAAGATTCAGTATATCACTAGCCTAGAAAAAGGCCTCTCTGTCTCTAGGTCCACATCACCATGCAATACAAACTTTACTTATCAGTGTCAGATTTGCTTAACAGAGATTTAAAAGAGCTGAAAAATCAAACCGGTGGCTTGATGAAAAAGCTTGGATCAATGCTAAGGTTCTTGGAACACACCGACTAAAAAATGAGGTCCCCTTCCTCCACCAAAAATTATGAAGATTGCACTGTTTTTCTGAGTATGCCATGGCTCTTTTGTATCTCTGGGACGTCCTAGCAGGCAACACAAACACACATCTGTCAAATACCCAAATATTCTTTAAAGCGACACACAATCAT